TCTCAGTACACCCTTAGTGCTCTACAGGCTATACGAAAATTTGATACATCTCATCCCCTAGTTCTCTGATCCAACTTTGGCTACGCGCCGTCTCTCTACCAAACATAAAGATATTGTTTTTTGTTGGGTCCCTGTCATGTCGACATAACTAGGGCAATGAACAGCAGACACTGGCTGCGCGTCAGCAGTACATGACCTACTACTACCAATTTCCTATCGAGGTGTTCCATTTCTGACTATTTTTGCTGCAATAGGTACCCACCTTCCGCACCCGTTGGCAACAACCGCTGGTCAACTCTGCTCGGTAACAACCTATTCTATTAAACCGCATAGGTTACGGCCGACTTCTTGTCACCCAGTGCCGAGTTGGGAGACACCCTCTCGCTTCGCATTGGTCACAACTCGTCTTACTCATGGGTATCTCATGGAGAGTCCACCCTGTTCCTCTCTGTGAGCAGGTCAATTCCAGTATCGATTAGCCACATTCTGTAGACATGCCCTCCTCTATCAACGAGCACGCAGATTTACCTCCACTCGTCATTCTTCTACTACTCTCTCTTACCTTCCTTCTTGCTGATGGACCCTCCTTAAATCCTGACTCTCTCATTGACTTCTGACAATGACTGATTACTCCACAAACTCTGATGATACTTTTCACACTCCCTCAACCCATTCTAGTTCAGTCTCTTGCTGCCCTTTACCCTTTCACCATCCACTGCCCCGCTGTTATCCGTAACCTATTACTCATCCATCTCCCTTTTGCCACCTGATGCCCTCGCTTCCTTCCTGCCCTGCAGCGCTGTATAGTCCTTGTGGCTTAACGCTTCTTTTTGATTATTATAATAATAATAATCCCCTGTTGGTGCTTGCTTACAAGAACCAAAATTACAACACTCGGCTGTTTTCCAACCTATCACTAGGCCTATAATTTATTGGATTCTTCGGATCCTTTTCTCGATGGGAACCTTTAATGAAAGTGCCCTTCTTCTACGCAATGATATTCCGTACTGTCCATACCTCGCTGCATTACACTGCAGCCCGTATCCACTTGAAAAATAAGTTGTTACAATATGTGTCTTTATAAAATCTTTCTCGACCTCGTGCATTTTCTATCCAGAACTTTGGCCTTTCTTGTTTCATCCTTACCACCGCCACTTCTGTTACTTGGTGATTTTAACGCGCCAGCATTTCTTCTGGTGTGGGTCACAAACGCATCGTGGCCACTGGTCATCCAGTTGGAG